CCTTTATTAAAAGTACTATTCTAACAATCGTTATGTTGGCTTAAAAGCTATTATGATTTACTAAACTTTCAAGTGTCTACAACTGGCAGTTACTAAACTTAACAAGATAGATTTGTCTCTAGAAGCGTTTTAATAAATAGTGACAAATGATAACAGTACATGAGATTTACCTTTACATAAATTCTTCTGTTTCTCAAAGATTTTTAAAATAAATTATATTAGTTTACAGTTTTCAGATGTGAGTGCCATCGTCGCAGTTAAATATGCATTTAATTCAACATCGGTTAGTTAAATATGTATTTAAAACAAAAATTTTAATTGATAAACACTGTCGCAAATTTAAATCAAGGTACCTTCATTAAGGGAAAGTAATTAATGCATTCAAGATTTAAAATGAATTCATTCATTAAGCTAGAAAATACTTTATTCATTTCTGCTCTTTTGTTTTGTCTGCAAAGTTTTCAAAGTATATAATATAAGTTTTAAAAATTAGAAGTCTTGACGAATAGATCAGACATGTTTGAAGCAATAATTATTTTCGACAGGGATTTTATTACTGTACGATGTAATAACTTATTTTTGTAGGATGTAATGTAAACATAGAAAAACATTTTAATGCTCAATAACGTCATACTCAATTACGACATCCTGAAAGTATGATGTTATTGTTATCTCGATCCATACATGTTCCCACTCGGAGAGTACGATTTTACGTTTACATTTAAATGGCGCCGGAAAAGAAAACTAAACGAATAAAATATATCGTGTCAGGAACGTTGGCAAATACGCTGTATTCAGAAGTATAGTATATTGTAATGATTTCTTTGCAACTTAGCATTAGCATTTTGATTCAATCTTTTGTCTCGTAAGAATTTTATTTCGTAGATTTAAATTCTCAGATGAATTAATTTTCTTGTTTTGGAGATAAAAGCAGTTTCAAGAATTAATCTAAAGACTTTAAAATTCTGAATCAATTTTAACTGTTCAAAAACCAAACAATATTGTCTACAGTATGGGATTCTGAGTAATAATGCTGCAATTTTAATCTGTTCCCTGCTATCAGAAATATTGCAAAATAGAAATCGTTGTGACAGTAACCTAAATTATTACCCTAGCACATACCTTGCGCATAATGTATGCAACTGCGTATCTTAAGTTTTGAAGAATACAAGCAAGTACTTTTCATTTTTTCAGTATTAAGTTCCCCTTTCTTTAACCATATATGCTCATCTAGTATTAAATGCTCCTTTTTGTTAGTCTTATACATATGCTTCAGGTTCAAGTTTCCTGTTTTTGAAAGATTTGAAATGATTTAATCGGAAGAATATTTTATCAGTCTCATATTTAAAGGCTTTAGAGAAATTTCTTTAGTACGAGCACAAAATAATTTTGCTATTTGTTCTAAAATTTTGTGCAAGTTAGAAAATGTACTTTTGCCTAGTTCTTTGTGTGTATTAATACTGATGAAAGTTGTACTTGAAATTCAGGTTTCAGACTTAAAAAACTAATTTTCTTTTTATATATGTATCAACACCACGTTCAGTCGTTCATCGTTAGAACTGCACACCTGTAACACAAACTTCATGCAATAAATCAGAAAGTAAATTATGCTGGAAAACTTTGCACTTTAGGCTTAAGATTATTATTGTTGTTGTGGCTTATCTAATTTGAGTGACATAACCAGAACAAGTCCACGACAAGAAGCTCAATATTGCGTCTATCGCTGGCATGGGGCTTTAAGAACTATATAGGTGAATGTACAACTTTAATTATTATTTATTAATCCATCCCAATTTTGATGGAGATCATCTCAATGAGCGAGTGCAAGAGTCTCCACTACTCTTTCCCCACCAACAAAGCGCTGGAGAAGACTTCGGATCTCTGTGTATTTTGAATGCTCCTTTCGGCACAGGTACTGTACGCTTACAAATATCCATGCTTTCTCCGGAGTTTGAACCGGAACAATCAGACACACAGAAGCCAACCACTAACCGTTATACAGGTCAGGGAGGTTGCTTAAGATTCTAAATGTTAAATGAGTTAAAAGGGAACTAGAATGTACATCTTTGAGATTAATTTGTGATTATTAAAAAACGTTTCCCTTAACATAATTAATTCATTAATATATGTGCGCAGAGTAAATGCAATAACCAAAAAGGAAGAAGTATGTGTAGTTCATCCATTACTTAGAATAATTATGGAAAACAAATATCAGCTATAATTCAGAATTAAAGAAACATCAATTGCTTATATGCTTATTTAAAAATCTAAGCTTTTGGTTGAATACGTTTTTTATCAACAGCGTCAGAAAAAGTGTGAAATTGTTTGGATAGTGACTAACCTTTTTTTATTATCATGCAATATTCAATAACTGTCGGTCTCTTTACTAAAATTTCGGGATATTATCAGTCTTCATTCTGCATTGGGATGATGATCAAACAAAATTTCCTTAAGATGTTCATTATGAGATAAAACTAGCTGAAGTCCTTTTATATTTAAATGCTAGCCTGCAACATTATTTCCCAGCTCTCTGCCTAACAGCGGTCGAGCAGTGAGGCTGCTGAATACTGGTAGCTCTTCCTGGGATCTATTCCAGGCGAACGGGCTTGCTGCATGTGCATTTTCATGGTTTTCCCCACTTGTAAAGCGGGTACGAGACAGTTTCTGTTAGAAAATCCTCCATGAAATCGTCCCTCTTCTAAGGTAGATAGCCATCGCATGCTTTGCCGTAATTAAGTAAATCGAGTCAAACCTTTCCTAGCTTGTATGTCTTATACTCATTTTCTTTATATGTACGCTGTTCTTCTAGACCATTTTTTTTCTTAATCGTTGTAAATGGGGATAACTGTTTGAAAGATTAAACGTAATTTCTTTTAATTTAAGCACGGAGTTAATTTGCTGGATTACTCGATGAGTTCTCTTCCTAATTTATAAAAGTGAACAACATAAAATGACAAGAACGAGCGCGAAATCAACTAAAATATTATTTTCAAGTAAAAGCTACAAAAATAAAACGTTAACAGAAACGTAGCATCCGCTTCTTGAGAACTGATAATACAATAGTATGGCAGTTACTTAAATAACAAATATAAGATTAGAAACTAAAAGTATGGCTCCTATGATAGTGCTCCTCCTGAACATAACTACAAGCAGAGGCGAAACTAGCCAACCAACATTGCAGCACCACGGCAGATAAAATCTGAGAGTTATAATGTATTATATCTCTTCTGACCAAGTTGCCAACGTTCTCTGATTGAACTGCAATTCGCGCTCTTTATTTAAATTGAGATAATTTGCATATTTGGTGGAGCTGATGGAAAGCAGAAAAGATTGAACATAAGATGTTAGTAAAAATAATCCTTACAAGTTCTTTTTTATAAGTTTCCTGATATTCCTCAGTTTTGTTACTGATAATTAAACCGAAAGAAATAATTAACATATTGCGTTGGAAGTGCCGATTATAACCACATAATGGAGACGAATAATTAAATAAATTGCGGTAAATGAATAATCACTTACCTTAAGTGGGGAATAATATCATATTCCCTACTTAAGGTAAGTTAAATCATCTTCACCCTTACCGAAAATGATAAAAGCTGCAGACAACTATCATATTTTCAAGTACCAGGATAGGATTGTAAATAATATAAGTAATTAAATGCGGTGCGATAATAATATGCTTTGTAAATAATTAGCTATGAACGCAGGTAATTATTTTAATGCAGTTTGATAGGATCGTATTGCTCTTAACATTTTTTTTCTGAAATCATTCAGATAATCCTTGAGCAGGATTTCAGTATTTTGTATTCTGCAGGAGGGTTTCATAGGATCTATTAATCTACTATTTCTATTTGTAGAGATAATATGCTGCTAACGGAAATTAAATTAAACACATATATTTCTTGACTGGAGCGATAATGATTATATCCATGTGATATACGAGAGATAAATTTCAGCTTATCAACCCTTTCCTCAGTTAATTCCAACCCTTAAAGTATTAGTATAGTCTGAAATTCAGTTGTATTCCAACAAAAAAGATTTATTGTCCATCAGAAGCATGCGACATCGATATAACACTTTTATCACCATAATCAATCATCGGACTCCTTGCCCTTCCATCGAGTGCATCTACTGTATGACATTCCTCCGTTTTTAACTTTCATGAGGATATAAGTGTCTCATATTCTTGTGGCTGCCAGTAAAAGAATTCTGTAGTAATTTAGATACAATTAGCCATATTTTTTCAAAACTTACATGGTACGTATAAATTAGTAAAATGTAGTGCATTCCACCAGTTTATTGCGAATACTTTGTACTTTCTAATTGCACGTAGGTGAAATAAATGCAATAAGCTTTACCTAAAGCACATAGTCCATGAGATTTTAATTATAGTTGGAAAATTTACCAATTACGCCTTTTGAAATTTCGATGCATATCGCATCTCAGGCGATTAGAGGGAAGTGAAAAGAGTTTTCATTTATCAAATTAATAACTGGAAAAAATTGTAAATATTTAAAAATTGTGTAAATGTTTTAATATTAGTATTAATTTTAGTTATTATTTTTGGAAATTGTTAATGAATTATTTTTTAGCTATTATTTTACTTCAAAGGAATATAACTGATATCACGGCTCATAATATATAAATCGCTGTCTATTAAACGCATGCACTACATAAACTCAGATCTTTAGGAACATATACATAGTGATTTTAATGAACAGCGGGTACTGTTCTTATAATTACATGTACTTCTGCATGAGCAGAAACATTTGAAAATATTTGTATATTTTATTTATTTCAAATAGTGTGCCTGTTAGTCTAAAACAGTGTTTCTTAACATTTTTGGCACAATGAACCACTTTAAATATTTTAAATATGTCACGGACCCCTCTGTGAAAAAAATTGCTTAAACATCATTTATTACAAAATACTGTTTTATTATTTATTTATTTTAATATTTTTATTTCAATAGTATAAAAAATGTGAAGAAATTAAAATTTTTAATATGAAGGCTGTTGCTGCTTTTCCTTGATTAACAGATTGAATTGAGGGATGCTTTTCGACAAAGCAACGTGCATATCATGTTCGACATTCAGTCTATTTCGATGTTTTGTTTTTATTGTGGCAAGTGTGGAAAATCCCGCTTCGCAAAGATATACTGTAGTAAACGGAATAATTGCTGCCATAGCTCGTTTTACAAGCAATGGGTAGGCTTCTCTTAAAGACCAAAACTCTCCAAGAGTTTTTGAATCGAAATACATTTTTAACAAGGACTTTGTTTTCAAATCAGTTAGCTCATCGTTGGCAAGTCTCATGTCATCGATACAGTCAATATCACAAAGAAAAAGGATTACGAATCCACAACTCATCTTTTATATTTATTCCATCCGAATTGAAATATTTTTCAAATGAAACTTGAAGTACTTCCAGGTGTTCACAGATTTCATTTTTCAAGTTATTCAATAACAAACTATCTTTCCGAGATCCATTTTCAAAAAGCACTTCGTCCAACATTTGAAAATTTGCATACATCCCATTTTGAATTCTAATTTTCCAAAGTGACATTTTCAATAAAAATGCCTATAGTTTCTCAGTGGCATCCATAATTCCTGTATCAGGGCCTTGAATTGAAAGACATATATCGTTCATGTGGTTAAAAATGTCTACCAGGTAAGCCAATTTACATATAAAATCTTTTTTCTTGAAATATTCGAAGAGTGAATTATCTTTTTCTTCTAAAAAACGTGATACTGCTGTCTTCAACATGAAAATTCGTTTCAAAACCTGCCCTCGTGACAGCCAGCGCACTTTCGTGTGGTACAGAAGTACCTCATGTTCTGCGTTCATTTCTTGACACAGTGTTTTAAAAAGACAATGATTAAGAGCTCTACTTCTAATAAAATATCACACAGTTTTAATAAACTATTGACAATAGTTTCTTTTAAGCTGGTTGGAAGAGGTTTTTGTAGCCAGTGAATGTCTATGTGTAGAAAACAATGTGTAACAATAACATTAGGAGCCTCTTTTTTTACCAAATGGGCAAAACCAGATTTATTGCCAAACATCGCAAGTGCTCCATCCGTACAAAGTGAATGAAGCTTTTCTTTCCAGTCGAAGTCGTGTTTGGAAAAGGAAAAACATTTAAAATCGCTAAAACATCAACTGCCTTTGTAGTTTGCAAAAGAAAGGCTCACAAAATAAGAATTCTTCTTTGATAGTATCAGCAGTCACGTAACGCACAAAACACAAGAAGTTTGACTACAAGTTCGAGATGTCTGTAGTTTCAACCAGTTGTTTCATACTAAAGGGAAATGGCAATGCTTTCAATTCATCGATGATCTGTTTCAAGATATTACATGAAAGTTTTCAACTATTCTTAAATGTATCACATCCTTGGACAATGGAATAGCCTCAAGTTTTTTTTTCTCTTGTTCCAGTCCACAAACTAATTCAACCATTTCCAGCGCACAGGGCTTAATTAATGTCTCTCCAATAGTATGCGGTTTCTTACTTTGGCAATACGATATGCAACTCTGAAAGATGCCTCAACCAAAGGTTTTTATGAAATACCAAATCCAAGTTTGGTTAATGTTCCAGATTTCAAAAACTGGGCTTTCTTCTTTGTAAAAAAATTCTAGATCTTTAGATGCATTTTCAGGATGAAGAGATTTGAGATGCTCTATCAACTTTGCCGGTTTCATACTGGCGTTTTCCAAAACTTTTCCACACAGAAAGCATTGTGGCTTTTCAATACCGTCCAATTCCTTCATGCAGCAGAATCCATATTTTACATAATTTTCATCATACTTACTTTTTCTCGACAGTTTGGGCTACAAAAAATATCAAATAATCAAATTAAGAACAAACATTAAGACACAAAAAAAACCACTTAAAAATACTTTAATTACAACTTATGAAAACGTAAAACAAATATTTTGTTTTAAAAATTGGCAAGAACTTTGCGGAACTGATTTTAACGTCACTTTACTTCCAAGTGAAGCAAAATTCAAATGCTACTTTGTGTTTCTAAAAATTTCAAATTTTACATAGTTTGCGAATGTTGTTTTCCTCGTATTGTGGAGGTCTCTATTATTGGGAAATAGCAGACAGATGGCTTACAGAGGTTGCCCGTGACAAAAAAGTTTTCTTTTTTAATATTGATGCAAACATTTTAAAAATTAGGAGCAGTCGGCGGACCCCCAAAATGTACTTTATAATATTACTGCGCATAATACAAAACAAAAACAAAACAAAACAAACACGAAAACTTTCAAGTACATTTATAATACAGTACATTATACAAGTATGTTGTACCTGTGCATTGCATAGTTACCAATATTTAATACAATTGGTACATTTACGGATAAATGACAGAAGTGCATTAATTACAAATACAGTTATGACATTTATTATCCACTTATTGATTAAATACTAATACATTACTAGATAATTAAGATACATTGCTATATAATTTAAGATTAAATAATGAAGAATCTGCATAATTATGTATGTTTGTTGCATTGTGATAAAACAGCGGTACCTAGAGCCATCCAATTTTGAATGACGTAATCCTACTGCGGATATGGGCATCTAAAAGCCCAAATTGAAATTTGGAATTTGTTTTATTATCTATTTAAGGGGTATCAGAAATCCCTGTTAAACAATGTTAAACTGGCCCTTTTTTATGTACCTTTTCTCAAAATCTGCTGTAGATACACGCTTGAAATTTTTTGTGTAATTAAAGCATACCTATCTGATTATACTGAAATGAGTTTTTGAAACATTTTGAATTTTAGAGTAATTTACAGAATATTTGTTAGGTATAGTTAAATTTAGCACTTTTCTCACACAACATTTTTTTTCTTAGTTTATCACAAAAAGTTCATTTCAGTAAATATTAGAAAACGTAATAAATAAGCCATAAAAAGTTTAGATATCTGTGAGAAGTAGTTCCTGAGAAAAGGTACATCAAGGTATAAAAAAAATCACGTTTGGGGAAAAATTCGTTTTTATGTAAAAATCGTCATTTATCAAAGCATTCGATGACAAATTAAAACTAGATTTTTTACAGTTCTAACTTTCATAGAGATTTAAGAATGGTGTTTTCAGAAAGATAAACGTGTAGAGAATTTGAAAATGCAAAAATCCGAAATCACCTTTTTTTGAAGATTTTTGGGTTCCAACACCCCTTAATATTTTGTAAAACTTTAACGAATTTTTGATTAACAAACACAACGATTTAAAATTTAGCAATGGCGACACTCTACGGGGGAGGGGAATCTTTGTATCTCCAGCACGAGGAACTTTGTATCGGAAGTTCCAAAGATATGCTCATTTTAAAATTATTTTGCGACACTGCTGTTGAACTGAATTTTATGGATTAAGGGCAAAGGACATGGTATTTAATAAACAAAGGTAACACACAAAACGTTAAGGAAAAGGCCACTTTGGACGTAATTTAAAATCTGAAACCCTTCAATTTTTTTTTTTTTTTAAATGCAGGAGACCTTGAAAATGAGCAATGCCCTCGTCGTGACTTGAATCTAGACCTCTCGAATACGCGCCGGGTGTGCTACCGCTACACCAGCACGAAGGCATGCTAGAAGGAGAGAGAAAATACCACATATGTTTACGTCAAAGGAAATTTTACGTCACCATTGAATTTGTGTTTGGCACGCAAAATGCAGTAATTTAAATTCTAAAAAAGTATATTTATTCAGTTTAATAAATATAGCTGTTGTAAAATGTATTATTGCTTTGATATTTTTTATTTTTTTTTTACCTTCAGTTTACTAAATTGGCACCATGTATTTAATCCGCAATCAAAGCACAGATTGTGACATGAAATGCGTATTGTTTGCGAAGTACGAACATGACTGAAGCATAAAGCACCTTCAGACAGTAAGATGGGTTTCAAAATTTCCTGAATTCGGTCAGAAGTTTCTTCCTTTCTAAATACAACCTTTATTAAACTATTAAGTTAAAAGTACACGTATTTCCTTTCGTGAAAAGTAAAAGCATCAGCAAAACGATATCTGAAAGCAAATTTGTTGGTAATAATAAATAATTTGTAATATAAATAAAAGAATAATTATGTTCAAATTGAAATTTTGAAAGTAGGTATTCATTTAAAATTTTAATTTTTCGTTCCAACAATCGGTCTTCTGAGAGCTCGGGAGCGAAAATTATTCAAAACAGAGCTGTTTTATCGTATATCATCATCGTTTACTTTTCTCTAAATCCGCCTGTCTACTGTATTTTAGCTTCTAATTTGTTCATCTGCTGCATATATTTAAATAGTCAGATTAATATATATAAAGAAATACTGAGCACTTAAAGTTGTAAGACAGGCCTTTTAATTTAAAGGGCTGGAGCTTACGCTCTGAAGCTTGCAAGTAATCTCACCAGACAGATTAGTACGCATAGCTATGACTACTTTATTATGATTTCTAATAGTATTTGGAGTTCACTTATAAACGATGGAAGGAGAACAGAAAATTTGAAAGAAACCTACTAGCTTATATTTATAAAACTCTACAACGTATCAAATCTGGCATTCAAACTTAAGTAATTTCTACTTGAAACGATAAATTATTATTGAGCTACTTTTATTTGAGGTTGCTGGAGAGTGAATAAGATCTTCCATAAATCTGTATTCTGTTTATAATTTTTAGCTTTATTAACCCATGATCTTATATTTTGATCTTATTTTTATGTCACCTCTACTTTACTAAGCTCCCATCAGATTGCAAATTAATTAACATATATTAAAACAGAGTTCTTAAAGTTAGAGAGAGCTTTCTGCATTGACCACTGATATCCGTACTATTTTTATCTAATTCTTAGATTAACTTGAATAAGCTGTAGCCTTTGCGAGACGTATTTTGTTCGCATGGTTACCAAGCCTGAGACAACAAGTATTTCGCCTTGTGAATTGTATACCTTAATTTTGTTTTTCTTCTAAACGCATAAAATTTGGTGACTTCTTGTTCTGTTAATTTAAATGCAAGGTGTAAGTTGTTAAGTTGAAGTCCTAAAAAAAGGTTTATTTTAAATCATCCTCTGAGTTCATAGTTACTTTCATTGGAAGACTAAGACGGGCGATAAGTCGCTTTTCTGTCTACACGGACCTAGAACTTAGCTTTGAATTACATTAATTTCGTACATATTTAAAAGCGAACATCTCTCGAACAAGCAAAAAAATCAGTGGTCACCTGAAGTAGAAACTGTAACATTTTCGGACCACTGTAAAAAATTTGTAAAACCGTTTTTTCAGTCAAAATTCGAACGCAGAATTCGCTGTCTAAAAGATGTGTACTGTATGAAACGCACAGCTGCCGCCTTGGTCATTATGCACACACAGTAGTTT